TTTTTTTGCGGCACGCGGGCCTCTCACTGCTGTGGCCTCTCCCGTTGCGGAGCACAGGCTCTGGACGGGCAGGCTCAGTGGCCATGGCTCATGGGCCCAGCCGCTCCGCAGCATGTGGGATTTTCCCGGACCGAGGCAAGAACCCGCGTCCCCTGCATCGGCAGGCGGACTCTCAACCACTGCGCCACCAGGGAAGCCCAATGCTGTCCTATTTTTAACTCCTCCCTTCCCTTACTCAAATAAAAAAGGAAACCAACAGCAGTGAGCCCTTGTTTTATGAGAGCTGCTGTCACTCACCTCAACCCACAGGTTGGTGATGCTCAAACTTGAACCAGCCTCAGAATCACTTAGAGGGCTTGTGAAAAGTGTGCCAAGCCACTCCCAGAATTTCCGATGCAGTAGGTCTGGGATGAAGCCTGAGACTTTGCATTTCTAACAAGTTCCCCAGTGTATCTCATGTTGCTGTTCCTGAACCACACGTGGAGAACCACTGAACAACCCACGAAGTACTGGGTTTCCTTGCCAAGGCGAGGAAACTGATTCACAAAGGCTAGGTGCCTCAGCGGAAGCTCCACCACCAGTGAGAAACAGGCAGTATTTGATCTGACTCCAAAGCCCGTGCTGTTTGCACTACCCCTGAGTTGGAGATTTAAGACTCTTAAGATTTCCCCATTCCATGTCTGTTCACTTTATCCTAGAATTTCTGCTCTTGAAAGGCGAAGTTAAGGTTCTGGGAGAGCATAATATCAATATATTTTCATCTCCAATGAGAACCAGTAGATGGCTCCGTTACCCAATAATTCCTCTTCTAGAAATCTATAGTAAGAGAATGATCCAAAATATAGCCCCAAATACAAAGTGTTTTAGCAAAAAGCTAGGAATCTAAATATCCAATATTAAGGGTCTGGTTAAATAAAGTATGGCATATCCAAGTGAGGGAGTATTATCAGGCTGTTAAAAATTATTTATTTAGAATTTTTATAACATGTCAAAGCATTTATGATATAATATTAAACAAAACAGAACTAAATTCAAAAAGCTCTCAATGTATTAATAATATTGAAAAAACTGGAAGAAAATAAAAACACTGACAACAGTTGTCTCTGCCTCTAATAATTTTCTATACTTTCCACACACTTTCTACAATGAGTTTTTTAAATTAAAAAACCATGCACTTTCTTTTTGTTGATTAACTACAAGAGATACTGTCATGACCCTTCTACAGTTAGTCAATTCCTAAATAGCCAGGAAGAGCAAAACTGAACTTTAAAGCTAACATTTAATTACAGATTACATTTTCCCTGGCCTACAATGTACATATTTTAAAGTAAAAAACATGAGGAAAAAACTCAAAAGACAATCATTATTATAAACACACAGAAAGAAGACCAGAAAGATACCTGTAAAAATGATTAACAGGGATTATTTTTGGTTGGTGGAATTACAAGGCTTTTAAATCTTTTTAGCTTAACAATTTTTGTTACATTTTCTACAATGAACATCAATTACTTTTGTAATAAAAAGTCTTTGCTGTTTTCAAGAGACAACCACCAAGCAAATTACAGCACACCTATACAACGGTATAAATAGCCACTTTAAAATGTTGTAAAAGAGTATTTAATAACATGGAAAAACGTTTGCTATATTAGCTGACCATACTATAAAACAGTATGTTCAGAATGATCCCACTGTTTTGTTTAATAAGCAAACAAAATGTCTGTGTACACAAAGAAAACACCTTGGAAAGAAATATCCCAAAATATTAATAGTGTTTTACCCTAGGTGGCAGGATTATTCTAATTTTCTTAGTTTTGCTTCTGTATTTTCTGTATTCTATTGAATATTAACTTTTCCAATATGCAAAAAAGTTTTAACAAAAGCTACATTAAACCAAAAAATTACCTTGTTAAATAGAAAAGAAACAGAGAAAAAGATGAGCAGGGGTATCTTAATTGAAAGATCTTCCTTTAAAAAGGCTTCCCAGCTCTATCTCAGCTCTAATTTTCAAGCCAAGCTGGTCTTTCAGCATCAAGAGGGCAGTCCATCTCGATCCTTCCTCTACTGTAGGCTTAATAATGCTTGAGCAGGATATCGACTCTGGCGACAAAGGTCACCCCCCTCTTGATGGGGCAAACATACATGGTCTGGAACCTTTAAACAAGACCCTGGGAGAGAATACGGTCTAGGGGGAAAAAATTTAACTGCCTTCTAAGACTATGAGTCTGATTATAAGTAAATATAATTTACAACCATTTGATGAAGGAAATGTATTACTTATGTTGCAAATAACACACTAACTATAGAATTATATTCCCGGACCTGGCAGAGACCTCTGAGATCATCTGAAGACAATTTCCAGGACACTGTCTTCAGGATGCTATGTAAATACTGACTGGAAACAATAACAGAGATGTCATGCTAGAGAATCTTAAGTAAACAGTTCAAAAGCCTGGCTTCCTGTTTATACAATGTTAGGTCACTTTATGGATAGCCACAAGGTGATTCAGCATTCTGATTTGATAGAAGAATTTCTTGACTTGACATATCATAAAGGGGACTACAAAGAACAGCAGAAAAGCCAGAAGACACAGAAAAGAACAAAAATAAACACACAGACGTGTGTCTTCCAGCCCAAACAATGAGAAATTTACACCACCAGCCCAGCCATTCAATCTATTTCCAAATCGCTATCCTCGCTGTGGCAGGTGGCTGAGTTACGCACGGAGGTTACCAACAAGACTTCCTTTTCTGGAAGCAATCCAAACTCCTGGAGGAAAGCTTCAAGGTCCACCGCAAAGAAATCTTCCCCCAGCTGGTCAGTGACACGGACAAAGTTGCCAATCAGCTCGCCCCCCTTGTAGATGAGCAGGGCGGGAAGGGCGTTCCTGGTGAAGCGACTGCTGGCCCCGATCACCGAGCTCTTCACCCGGCAGAACTTGACGGCTGGGTACTCCGCGGCCAGGCAGATCATGCAACCGTTCATGGCTTCGGTCCCTGGGATGCCGTCCTCGTAAATATGGACCATGATGAGGGTGCTCTTCTGCTCTTTGTCAATCATGTCCAGAAACCCTTCTCCACTGGGAATTTCAAAAACCTGCTTGAACTGGGGCCCCTGGTGGAGCTGCTGCCGCATCTCTTCCATCCTCTGCTTCCGGTACCGCTGCAGGAACTCCTCGTCGTCTTGGTCCTTGTTCATCATGGCAAAGTCCTTCAGAGTCATCTGCGGAAGGACCAGCAAGTGAGCGTAAGAAACATAAACCCAACAGTGACATGGGTGACACAAGATGTATGAGGTGCCACGCTAATACTCTAGATGCATTATACCTCACTGAAATCTTCTGATAACCCCATCGGGAAGGGACTTTTCTTACCCCCACTTTACAAATGAGGTTCTGAGACTTGAGATTATCTGTATAAATTCACATAGGTAGCAAGTATAAGACCAGGATTCAAACTAGATTTTTTTAAAAACCCAGGCTTTCAACTACTGTGTCATAGCGCCTCTCCATCCAGATAGGCAGCATCAGATAACATCACTTTGTGAGCTTTTGTCTTTTTGTCAGTCCTGACAATGGATTAATTATTTTATCCACTGTTTTGTTTTTGTTGAAAAGACAACAGGACATTAAGGAACCTGAACACTCATAATCCCTGCCCTGCACCACCCTCCTTGCCCCCCGCCAAAACATATAGCCACACACATTCTAAAAATCTATTCTTTTTATTACCAGTCACGTGCTAAAACCATTTCTGCTTTTATAACAGCAGCTGTGGGTGTACCAATTAAGCTATAGCCTGCTTTTGCCACTTAGCCCTATTATATCATAAATTATTCCTCATGCTTCCTAACATGTTTTATAAAATTATACATAATATGGCCTATTTTGCTTAGCCACTCCCCTACTTCTGGCATTCAGGCAGTTTCTAGTTCTGTCTCATTGCAACAACCCAGTAGGACTGCCCCATGTGATCATGTGCTGTGTGGCTTTGTCTGGTCTCCACCGCAGCACAAGGAAGCACTGTGAGCCGTTGGCATGTTGTCCTGAAGCCAGCTTCCATTACAAAAGCATTCTCCCTCTCCTGCCCTGGTGTAGCAAGACATCCCTGCTCCTGTGATGAAGCCCAGCTCTGCCTACCCTGGCACAGATGAGAGGGTGGTGGCTGGGAGGCCACACCAGATCAGGACACGTGTTGTTACTGCAGCACAGCCAGAGCTGTTCTTCTTCCCTTCTCACTGCTCCCCCACCAGAGCGGTT